GTTCATTTTTGAGTTCTTGCAAACTTTTCCATCACTAATCCTTGGAGTTTGTATCTATGCACAGATTAGTCTTTATTAGTGCCTGACCCACAGGACTCTGCTCCTTACTTCCTAAACTGCTCCTCTAGATACAGATTAAGGCACCTGCCAGCAACTGTGGTTTCAGAGGCACCCATCAGTTCCCTTACTGTTTCCTAAATAAAGTTTTTTTTGTTCTTGAACAACCAGAATGATTCCAATCTCTTCCCAGAGGTTCCCCTTAAGTTATTTGGATAAATGAAGCCAATGAAAAATTAAAATCAGTTACAGAACAGTGGATTAAATTAGAAGTAGTATCAGACACATTACAATAATTGGTTTTATGCTTGAAAAGAGTATCACAAGCTTGTAATTAAAGTAGATACAAAATAATAATAAGCTACCCACTGGCATTCACCTGAAGTTCCTGCTAACATGAAATGAATTTTAATCCTGCATTATGTCAAAAGGCCCTCCCATGAAACTCCGGGATAGTAAGAGAAGACAGCTTTACAATTGCTAGGTTGGCATAAGCTGGGGCAGAGCAACGGGAGCTCATCAATGTTGTGTGGATTTGAATCGTCGGCCTTCCAATTGGCAAGCCCAAGAAGCTCAATGGTTTAAACCATAGCGCCTCCTGCGTCCCCTTTATCCTTTTGCAATGTTACTTAGATCCATTAAAACCAACTGGAGTGTTACCATATATTTCAATATGACTCAGATAATATTTGTGCAGCCTATTTTTTTTACAAAAACAGCAGTTGAGTTGGTAAACTTATGTCTGGATTGTATCACTTCAGAATGCTTCTCTATACAAAAAAATCCTAGGAAACTGTGCATGTCAGGGAAACTACTATACTGAAACCCTTTGCCTTTATGCCTAGTTTTGTAGTGAATGTTTTTTTCTAGAGAGGGAAGACTGAATATTCAAGTTTGAAGTGATCCAGGCCAGACTCAGGGTTACCATCTCATGTGATGTTTCTAAGAATAATGTGCCAATGGAGATCTAAAACCACAGTTTACATAGCAGATAGGAAGAGAAATGGGGGCAATACTGCCTTCAGGACCCAATGTGGGAAGCTGATCTGGAGTTTATTGTGTCCTGCATTCATACAACCTCACAAATAAGAAGAGCTCAAGGTTTAAGCTGGCAAAGGTGGACAGTTATGTGGTATCCATATCTATAGGATTATCCAGCTAAAGTACTCCCGACTTTTCCCCGCTGCTCTCTAGACAGCATTCAGGGCCTTCAGGAATCCTGGTTTGTATAAAGGACTAGACTGATCAAGCTATATTGTATTTATAAAACTGAACTGTTAGAAATCTTAACACTACTAAAGCTCACCTCAAATCTTTCTGCCCTAGAAAATGGGGATTGGGGTTGAGGAACAGTCACTTCAACTTCCAAACACCTGTTATTCTCATACTTCAGGGATATGACACAGGTGAGGCAGGGAGATGCATTTGTGAACAATTCTAAAAAATTTCTATCTATAGAACAAGTCCTGCTACCCACCCCCGCATGGTCTCACAATACATAGTATATGTATAGTATGCAAGTGACATCAAAAGAATGTGAATAGGCACAAAGCTCAAGTAATATTTTATAAACTGAGTATCATTAAACAAAGATGCCTGTTTGCAGGGGTGCCAACTTGAATGAAATATTGCGGGGGCCCCGCCTGACATAACTGATCACACAACGCAGTGCACGAACACCATTTGAATGGGAATGGCCATCAACGGGGGGGGGAGCCTGGCTCCCTCAAATACTTTATTGTGGGGGCTGAAGCCCCCCAAAGGCCCTAGGAGTTGGCTCCTATTGCCTGTTTATGAATATATTATGAAGTTAAATTAGGAATGAATTGGAGCTCCTTTGCAAATGAAAATGTTTCCCAAGTCTGCAAATAGAGCTTCAGCATATTCAAAGCATGACGTATCACTAACAACAACAACAATAATCAATAAAAGAAAAGAAATAGCCTTGTCTTAAAATGATCCAGACCTCTGGCTTTATCTTCCTATTTCATCCCTATCCTCATATCTTCCACAACAACCAACTGAAAAAGCATAGAAGGAAATATGGAGGGAGCTGAAGCCAGTTGGATTTGTACAGATTGCTGAGAGGACTCTTTACTATGCTTTTACAAAATCTGATGGAAAAACTAGTCTGGAGAGCAGGTTCTTGATCTTTTTCTTCTCTTTTTTTGAAAAATGTTATGAAACATGAGCTAACCATAACCGGTCCTCAGGGGAGCGAGATTGTAGCAATAAATTTTCATGTTCCAGAACAGATGGCTATGCCACATGAAGAAAACAAAATCTATCAAGCTCTGTAAAATGAAAAGAAATTTATTCTCCCACATCCAATTAAGCCTCTTCTAGCATACTGTTCTACATGTGGTAACATAGACATTCTGCATGAGCACCATGACATCGCTTTTAGTCTCCTCTGTCTCGGCCTGGTTGCCATAAATCAGCCCAGGCTGTGAGTAATGCTGAAGGAGCTAAATGTTCAGAATTTGTGTCTGTCTGTTTTATTAGCTAGCCCAGAGTAAACTGGGGGCTTATCATTCAATGTCAGGTTCAATACCCAATGACCCAATACGTTAAAATTGTGGCAGCCACAAATCAAGGGCATAATGAAGTCTGAGAAGTGGTCCACACTGATTTATTAGGGCATCTGTCTGACTATAGACAATCTACTGTTGCCCTTGGATAGCATCAGCTATTCCCATGGTCTTCCACATATCAGAGACTTCTCTCTTTAAAAAACAAAACAAAAGACCTTCTAATAAAGCCGAAGTGACTTGTAAAATAAGATAACAGTCACAATGCTTTGCTTGCGTGTTTGGTTGAAATGCCTAAAAATGAATAATGTGAGTCAGGATTAAATGTATTGGCTTAAATATTAGCAGCAAGAAAAATTATGTGAACACAATGGGCCAGATTCAACTAACCCGGTACACTTGCGGAAGGCAGTGCAAGGACTCTCACTAGCACAATTGGGCTTCCTCACCCCACCCCATGGCCTCCTCCAAATCCACTCTGGAGGGTCAGGAGAACCCCAGAATAGGATGCAGAGGGAGGAGAGAGGAGACTATTTGGCCTAGCAAACAGAAATGCTTGCACTAATGGAACAATCATATAAGCATGATGTTAGATTCCACCCTTTATCATTCAGAGTAGAAGGAATTGGATATGGCTGAAACAGTGAAATTGGAAATGTTTAAGAGATGGAAATCAATAAGCTGAAATATTTGGAGGGGAACGTCTTCCCTTTGTTCACATTATGTATGCAATGTACAGTCTTGATCCCAATACATACAAAACATTTGCTTTGTTGTGATTCCCTCCCTCCTTGATTCTGCATGTTTCTGTACATCACCACTTGGAGACTGCAGTGTTAAGAAGCATATATAAATTATTGAAATAAAAGAAATAAGTGCCAAAACTATTAATAATACAAATTACATTCAAAGCCAGCACTGTATTTTCATTCAGTATTTCTGACAGGGAGATTTACAGACAGGGAAGCACTGATTTGATCCTGAAAAGTATTGTGTTCTGCCCAAGTTAGTAAAGCTTATCTGCCTACAACTATTTTTATCTTCCATACACATCCATTAATTTTTCCATTTATTGTAACTTGTTAATCAGACAAAATGCTTTTATTATCTTAATTCATTCACACAATTTCTCTTGCAATATTTCCTTTTTAATTATGGTTTTTGAGATGACTGCAGCTAGCAGCACCTTGGATTCTGATTTGGAAGAGCCACTAGAATATGGTTGAGAACCTGTGGCCCTCCAGACATTGCTGGACTCACATCATCCCCAGTTAGCATGGCTAATGGCCAGAGAGGATAGGGGGTTTGGGAGTCCAGCAACATCTGGAGAGCCCTGCAGTAGACCACAGACATGCTGGATCAGGTACTTGATATTGGACCCAAATCCAGCAGCCCAAACCCCCAATGACCATAGCCCTTGAGCTAGACTCCACTCTAAGGATCAGCCTCTTCAAGAGCCTCTCCACCAGGCCTGCTCTTGACTTCAAGTAATAAACCTGATGAAGCAATGGAGAGGTTGAAGGCCAGAGAGCTGCTCATTGAAGGCTATCTGTTTTCCCGCAAGGGGAGTGGAGCCTAGGAGGGATAATCAGGCCTAGAGAGTCTATAAGGGCTCAGTGAACATCAACTACTCAACACAACAAGTAAACTCTCTGGGACCTGTCCAGGGTTCTGAAGGGCCTATCCATTACCACTCTCATCTCCTAATTCTAGTTCTAAGCCTTTGAGTGGATATACAGTTCCTGCCTGCCAGTCACCTTCTGTTACTAACTGCCCCAGACCAGCTTCTTACAAGCTCCTCCACTGACTCATCATCATCAGGACAGTTTCCAACAAGCATTAGGGTTGTTCTTGTCAGTGTTGCTCACCTATGGGTCATAGCTTTAATTTAGATGTATTTTATTTATTTTATTATACCATTAAAAGTCTAAACTAAATGCATTGGAATAGCAAATAATATTAAAATTACAGTGACAATTCTAAGCTTCTTTATCTGAGAGTCGGCCTCTACTTCTGAGTAGATAAGGTATTGGATTGCATTGTTGAGGCTGCAGTCCTGTTCTTAGTTTCTTAGGAATAAGTCCTATTGTACTCAATTAGATTTTTGATCATAAGATTGCCTTGGTTTTTTGGTTCAGTGTCTACATTTACATTTTTTAACATAATGGATGGCACAATGCCTTTCTTCCATTACTGCACAGATTATCACTTGCAAAACGTAACCCCCCCCCCAACTGGATGTAGCCTGCACCCACCCTCAGAAGGCTGGAAGGAACCCAGCCTTTGATCTAGGGGATGCAGGGGTAGGAGAGGTGGGAACATTCCCTTGCACAAGAGTAAATCATTGTGCTATTAGAACAAGAGGCTTAGAGCTACTTTTGATACCAAGTCTTTGCCTTTAAAGTCTACTTACCCTCAGGTAGCACAATGGGTCAATGTGTTTGGCTGTTAACCAGAAGGTTGGTGGGTCAAGCCCACCCAGGGATGGCTGTGGGCAAGATTTCTACATTGCAGGGGGTTGGACTAGATGACCCTCGGAGTCCCTTCCAACTCTGCTGATTCTAAGAAGTAAGCCCTGGGATTTACTCCTAGGTAAGTACATACAGGATTCAAGCAAGTGTGTGAAAATGTAGCCAATTATTCCAGTTGGAAGCTAAGCATCAGTTTGAGCAAAGTGAGCTATGCAATTGGTATCGTAGAAAATGGTAGTGCAATTAAAAATAACAACCATATCCAGATGGATCAAGAAAACAAGCTCATCATGCTGTCAGTCAATCTGACACAGTATTACAGTATATCATCCAACATTAAATATCAGATAAGGATAAGTACTTATGAATAAAGATTTGATCTTTTTCAGCAGATGTGTTGAGGTACGATTCCAATACTTGGCTGTTACGTTTGAGATTGACTTCACAACACAGATGGGGGAGAAATTCATTTGGTTCATATTTTAAAGTGCACTTTCCAAAACAACATGTGAAAGAAAACCCTGCCCTTCTCCAAATTTTGCATTGTAGTTCTCCAACCAAAGAATGCATACAAAAATACATACATTACCAAAAAGTGTACGCAAAAATGTGTATATTAGTGAAAACAATGCACAAAATTCATTCTATTATGGGGAAATCGCAAAAAATGTACATACCAGGCACAACTGCATACGGAAATGAAACACTGAAAGAAATGCTAATGAAAAATGCCCACAAATTTTCATATGGATTTCCTGCTTTGATTGCAAATGTATGTGGAAATGGGGAGAACCAAAATTAATGTGAACAACCGAAATTGACAGATTTCTCCTTCTCTACTCCACAGTACTTCTTCTGAGTAAATATGAATTGGCTCACACATATATCATTTATATAATTACCTCCACACATTCCAGCGCTCCTCTTCCAGCTGAGTCAGCAAATGGTCAATGTATCTATTTGAGTCCATATATTCCTGTGATAAAAGAAATTGTTCAGCAAATTAATTTGTGTTAACTGATGCAGGTTTCAATCATACAAAAACTGTAGTTCATCAGATGTGTATTTTCTCCTTCAGTGTTGTTGTTGTCACTATTAATTAGTTCACTTCCCATAAGGCATCCCAAAGCAATTTACAATATATTAAAAACAATACACGCAGAGAGACAGAGACAGAGGGTTTAAAACAACAGTAGCACATAGATAAAATCAATTCAGGTAGTGTTCATAGCGGCTTTGAGGAAATGGCATGGGAAAATGGAGATCCCACCATGGATATCCCAAGTCACAAATAATATGGCCATGAAAAGCATATTAATTTAATTCATGTAAATGTTCAATAGCTGTTGCAAAGGGAATAATAGGTTTGTAAGAGTTTGAGAGTGCCCACATCTTATCATCTTCTACCAATCTGAAACACTTTGTGCCACTTTTTAGATAAATGGGCTGGATCCAGACTTTGCTGCTGACAGCAAAGGGGAGTGAGGAACCTTTCCTTTGTATCTCCCAGTGCCGGGACCACACTGATCTGGAAACAGCCTTTCTATCTATAGAAGGCAAAGTCTGGATCTCACCCAATGTAAACAAGCAAAAAAGGCAACCAGAAGTTAATCACTACAATGTACTTAATCACTGTCCTATATCATTATATATATTTTTCCTGCTTTAAAATGGGTAAAATGAATTTATAAACTTGTTAAAGGAGGTTCATGGTTGTGTGAGTAATAACAATTTTATTATTTGTATCCTGCCCATCTGACTGGATTGCCCCCGCCACTCTGGGCAGCTAGCTACTTATACTCAGCATGGAAGAGTACATTAAATTGTACACATTCTTTTTTTTTAAGTAGCATATTCAACAACGTTTACATAAAATCTCTTTTCCATTGCCTCATATTTTTATGTTTGAAATGTTCTTTGCAAGTCAAGTACTGCCTTTTTTTCATGAAAGCCAACATTTTACAAGCCATGAATCAATTGATTATATAGTAAAAGAAATACAACAACATAACTCTTCCCCCCGTAACAGTTAAACTTCTAAAAAATATATCATGATTTCAATATTAAATGCAATCAAAAGGAGCTAGTAATCAATGCTGCTTTTCATTACACACAATGCTTACATTGCTGTGTATCTTTTCTCAAGAAAGGTTTTAATAATATGCAAAGTGTATAATGCAACAGTATGTGTCATCAGAACTTCTCTGATGTTTTCTGTACTCACCCAAATACAAGAGATGCACACCTTTGAGGAAAATACCTTTCTCCACACATGGGTTGTTTGGCAGGCTTTATTATTGATTGAGAAGGCATGTGACTGTGGAATTGTGTATTGTGTAATGACAGGTCTTTGTTCAGCCATTTCTCCTCATAATTGAAAAGTGCAAGGTGGAAGTGTCATGAATAATGCATCAGTGCCACATCTCTTTTCAACATGAAGATATATGTTACAAGAGAACCACTATCATATTTCATGTACAGTGGGTGCCTTTTATTTTCCCAGCAATTTCAGGAATTCCCCAGTAACATCTCAGTAGATGCCTGAATTGAAAGACACCACCATAAAACATATGCAAGGAAACAACTTAAGCAATCACTGTGCTTTTCTTTTTTAAAAGACCAAATTCCATGTTAATAATCAGTTGCATTGCAAATTAGCCTGTGGCAGCTCAGAGCTTTGATTTTGACTTCTGCTTTGGATAACGCTATGGCATACACTGGGCCATGTTCCATGCCAGTAAGCATTGTATAATTAGAACTATTTCTGCCATATAAAAAATAACAAATGGTGAAGCATGCTTAAATCAGAGTTGGATCCAGATTTGCCATTCCGTCAATAGAATACAGTGGAGACCCCCACTACAGAAAATGAGGGGGGGGTATTATTTACATGGCTTCCTGATTTCCCCTGCAACTCCTTCCACACAAGCATCCCTTCCCATGCTGGCAGCCCCAGCTTGTGGCATCCACCAGGAAAAGCCACCCAGTACAGAGTGTCACTTAATCTGTTCATTATGCCTCCTCTTCCATTGTCTCTTGAAACAGACGGATGCCAACAACATTTTAGTTTTGCAGTTCTGTTGGTAAATTTATTAGAAACCAAAGCAGACATCATATTCTCATACTAAGTCAGTGAAAAATTGGCAAATGCCTTTAAAGTTTACATGCACCATACAGAAAGATCTGAAAATCAAATACATTGTAGTATGAATTCTTTAAAAAAAATAAACAACCCCATAGCAGTTGCTTTAACAAAGCATTTTGCATAGATTTCTTAATTGTTCAAAATTACTTAAGCATCAGTGCACATTTAAAATTAAATCTCAGCTGACGTGACTAAGACTGATCTATCATATTCTGAAGCCAATTGTTTTCATATTCTACTGTTGCAAATTTTGGCTGGGTGTCCTTTTCTAACATCGTTCTCAAGCACACAAGTGTATACAGCATGAAGTCAAAAAGCTACTTTACAGCTTAGCTCTCCAGCCTTTATTCATGCTGAATACATTTTTACACAAGTCTCAATGGTGGACTTGGCTAGCAAGGCATCTCTGGCTGTAGAACAAGGATTGCATTCCTGACAAGACCAGGGTTGCTGTGAAATGGTGCTCCTTGGGTTTTATGAGAAACAAGAAAAGCAGTCTATTCTGGATAGGATTATTTTTATTTATTTTATTTATTAAATTAGTATACCACCCATCACAGACCCCAGAGTGGTTCACAAGCAACCCAAGAATACAGTATCAAAACACCAAATACATGATGAAAACAAGAACATAAAACAAATCAATAACCTATCCACCTCAAATACGAAGTGTGTACTCTGGGAATACCTCCTTCATTCAACTTTGCCACACTGGCACCTATTTCCTGCTAAGGCCAGGGGCAGCCTGAGCACAATTACCAGTACCTATTCCCTAGTAATATCACCATTAAGATATTGTAATGTGGTTTATGCAGGGCTGCCTTTGAAGACAATTCAGAGATCCCAGCTGGTGCAAGATACAACCACAAGGGTGTTGAGTGGTACTCTTGGGTGAGACTATATAACACCAGTCTAAAGTTCTGCACTGGCTGCCTGATTGCAGAGGCAGATTTATGGCAGCACGATAGGTTCCACTGCACAAAGTACTGAGCCTAGGGTTGAATACAAAATTGTGGGGGTGGACTGCAAAACTTTAAAGGGAAAGCCACAGTGCCTTCCTCTAAAAAAACCCGGGTGTTATGACTGGACTAAAACGTAGCTACATATAAGGAAGGAAGGACAGATTCTCATTGAGACTGACTAAGGAGTTAAGATAATCAAGTTCTGAGCAGTCAGCATTTAACAAGGGCATGTAGAAACTATGCCATCGCTGAATCATTGTTTACAAGAATACAGGTCAAACAAAATAAGCTGAATATAAGTGATGGTTGTAAGTAACTGACCTCTGCAGCATATGGTGCTTGCATGTGAATCATGTATGTGATGGATCAAATGAGACAGGAGGTGTTAACAAGGCATGAGAAGTATTTATGTGAAGTGCTGGAAAAAAATGTAGCAGAGTTTCATGCGGGCATTCAGATAGTGTGATACCAACAGAGGATACTTTATACCAGTGTTTCTGAAAGCTCTCTTGATCCCAGCAATCTGACCCAACCTTTATGGGTCAAGTTTGGGGAAATTAATGAATGTTCTGCTCTCAGATCAAGGAAGAATGCAAACCAGAATAGTTTGCTCTGTTCTATAGAAGGGGAAGGAGGATGCCTTTCTTTGATGCCTTCCTATGGTATATTATGTCACAATAAATATGTTTTTTAGATGCCACAAGACTCTTTGCTGCCTTCTTCCTAATACCTTTTTGCAATGTAAGCTAATTATTATAAAATCTATCCTAAGAAAATTTCAATAATAATTAGTTGGCAATGCAAATATATCTACCTCGTATTATGCCAGTATATTTTGAGACAAGTTCCATTGCGCCTGAAAATAGTCCTTTGCTTACAATGTAAACTAAACATAATACACATTTATGTGTGTCTTGTGCACCTGAGTGGTCTCTGAAGGATACTCCAAGGGTAGGGCATGCTTCACAAAAATCTGACCTTTATAAAACCAAATCAAGAATATCCAACTGTTGGAACAACAACAAAACTCCAAGTTGGGAGGCGCGACAGAACTTGCCTATGGAACGAATAAATGTACCCATCAATTTACAGTCATCCCCATCTCAGTCTTCTAATCAAACCTACTCCATGACTTGTACCAACTGGGAACTATCACTATCATTCTCAAGTATCAGGTTCTGATTGGACACAGACTGGAAATTTCAGGAGCCACACTGTGGTAAACATGTGCATCTTCTCAAGTAGCAGCGGCCACCCATCTGGTCAGCCAACAATAATGCATTACTAAATCCCACCACCAGCAAAGCTCCTGAATCTGCTGGCAGATAAACAAAAACACAAAAATGTGTCAATTTAGAACTACCTCCTGCCCCCAAAAAATCCTCCCCAGGCCGCAGTATTAACAAATGGCACTTGCAATTGGCAAATGGTGAGTCAATGATGCTTTGAGTTTAAGCACTTCAACCACCACTAAAAGGAGCAAGGATTCTTGACTACCTTGCTTCACTTCACCATTACCATCATGAAACGGATATGAGCATTTCCGCTCTGTATATAAGGACCCTAAGAATAACATGAGAGTTATGTGAAGCCAAAAAAAAAAAAAAATTACAGACAGATCCTATTAAACCTTCAGGAAGGGGATGGCAATCAATTCAGCTTATCCATTTTAGAACTAATAAAACAGACATAAAATTTAGGTGGAATTTCATCTATAAGTACCATCCATTGACAAGGCTAATGTGAGGGAGGGAAAGCCATCAAAATTCCTCACTCAAAGGTCTCCAGTTCAGTTGCCTAGACTCTCTTTATAAAAACATTGCTGACTTAGAAAATCATTCCCCAGAGCTATATACAGTAGCTCCTGTATGTTGTGACCTGTCATGAAGACACAGACATGAAAGATTAGCGATGAGAGGCCAACAGGAGTGCAAGGGCTGGGGCTTCCTTGTCTGCAGACATGCCAACACATTCTTTACCCCTTTAGTAAGACAGCTGAGAGGCATCTTGCTTTCATTGTTTCCTGCCGTCACTTTGTCTTTCTGTTCCACGTCTGACAGCGCACCCAGCTCTAGCCACAAACATTTTCTGCTGAAGGAACGGGACTTGTTAAGGCAGGTTTTAAAGTAACATCTGTTCTGCAGTAGCTGGCAGCGCTTGTCTAGTCAATGCACATTTATCCTAAGAACCACTGCTATACAATTAGTCTTATAGTTAGTGGGTGCACATTTATGCATGCATGTGTTTAGATGCGCACACACACCCCTAATGCAGACACAATTCAGTATTAGTAAAGCTCAGATGAGACTGTATACTGCTTACGTTACCATTGAAGCTATTTTATGTACTCTCTTTTCAGTTGAACTTGCACCAGTTTTATTCTCAGTCTGGGATAATAGAGAGTGTGTGAACTTCATACCCAGATTTGTAATATCTGGTATGAAATGTCATTCATTTTTGTTTTGTATATGCCTTATAAGGTATACAGTGACATCACAAACATGTATGGTGACACTTTACAAAGATAGATAGGAAGACAGTTTACTGAATAGAAATTTAGTCAAGAGCATAATACACTCAACTTTAAATAGGCTTAACAGTGCTTTCGCCTCCTCTTGGGAAGTGCCCTGACCCTCAAACATGACTCCTCACATGACCGAGAGGAAGATAATAATAAAGAATTACACTTAGGGAGGGGGTCAATACCTCTCCCTTGAACCTCTGACCAGATGACATAGTTTCCCACCTTCTGCAGACTCAGAGAACAAGTCCCCAATAACAACCCCATACAATCCACAACATAAAAGTCAGTACTTGAAGATTCAGACAAGGGCCCTTTAGTTCAGCACAGTCATCTCAAGGAGGAAGGAGCCATGACAATTCACATAAGACTTCAGAAGATCTCAGCTCTTTGCTAAGGCAACATATTCTAAAGCTCAGCTAGCAAGGCCCCTGGGAGCTGACCAGGGTCCTGCCCTGCCTAGAGACACCTGCCTGGACTTGTATGGATCTGTTTCTTGCTTCTCCTTCCTGTGAGTCCCCAAGCCCCATAACAGGATAGGAAGCAAAGAGAATTCCCAAAAGCCTCACAAAAATACGATCCTCTGATTTTGTTCAAGAACTCAAGGTAAGTGAACTGTAATAAAATCCTGTATTATGTTTGTAATACAGATATTCTCTGTGAGAAAGAACAAATGGAATGAGAGCTTGAGACCAAAAAAGATGAAAGGAAGTAGGGAGGAAAGTCTGAATACAAAGTTTGAAGCCAAGACCATTATCCATTGCTCTGCCTGAATTTCTACCAGATGTGAATCTAACTCATTTTCATCATTTAGCACCTGTATTTTAAGGGAGTGATGGCCTTGCCCACAGATGTCTTCAAAAAGTAAGACTGAAAACTTGCCCCCAATTGGAAATGAGTTCCCATGACAGCAGGGAATCAGGAGTCTTCCAGGCGAGAACTGAAGATGAAAGTTGAACCAATAGTTCAAAAAGTTCATATTTTACATCTTTTCAATTTAACTTTTTTTTTTAAAGTAATGCATTTTAACATGGAAAATTCTCACTATTAAATATCTATACAGCAAGCTTTTGTGTGAATTATATTTAAGCTGTTGTCAGGTGACAGAGTCAGGAGCAGATCAGCAATAAAACACCCAGTTAACTCTTTATTCAAATAAACCAAAACAGCGCAAGCCTAGTGATCGCAGCAACTCTTCCCAGGAGAAAGTGCGAGGACCGACGGTCTCCATCTTCCTACCACTATAAGACTGCTCCCCCAGGTCCTTCCCCAGCACCTAGAGGTTCCTTCATCTTGCCTCTCTTTGCTCTGCACTCTTAATCCCTCTCCATGCTCTGGGAGACTAGTGGGGAGGGGACCTGGTAACAGCAGAATGGGGAGACTCTTTAGCAGCCTGGCTCTTTAGCAGCCTGCCCCCACTCCTATCCAGCCTTCACTTCAGCCTCTGATTTTGGACTGCCCTTTGCCACAGCCACTTCCTGCTCACTAAACCCTGTTACCTCTTCAGCTTCCAACACATCCTCTACCCAGTCTGCTCCTTCTTCTCCCTCTAATCACTCATCATTGTCCCACCATCCAACTCCCCTCGGGGGTTCCCCAGCTGGTGCCTCCCACCACTGCTCTGCATCCAGCCAGTCCATGACAGCTGTAACAGGAATGTTGAATTTTACTATAGGTGCATGTGCACATCCATAAGCACCCCCACATGCATATATATCTGCACACATATTTCCTGCCTTGAAGTATTTATAATGGTCCATATAAAATCTCAATAAAATTTATGGGATTTGAAGAAAACAACACCACATTGTATGTAGGCAGAGCATATATCAATCATTTTCTTTGGGGAAATTATTATTTTTGGGAAGTGGGTATGCAACTTATTTGTTTGAGACTCTGTTCTTGCACTAATGAAGAACAACATTCAGTAAGGATATCAACCCCATTTTTAAAATAAAGTTATATTTTCAGCATGAACTGATGAATAAAAGCCCAGCCTAAGCCTACACTCTGTGTTTATGGAATTCTCCAAAAAAAAAGCTAGGCATTTCCCAAATGCTGTATAGTGAAAGTAGATAGCATCATGTGCCTTTGCTTAGAGAGGAAATTTGGCACAGATTTAGCAAAATGAAGTGGTCATTTTGAAAGGAAACCTACAATGAGAAAGTTCAGCACCATCCCAGCAACAGGCAATAAGTCTAGAAAAAGAACCTGTGGAATATGTGTCTGTATGTCAAAATTGTCTCCAAACCCCAATAAACACCAATAAGCCCTAGTGAGATATTTTGTTCCTCAGAATCTATTTTGAATGAAAATGTGTACTTGAAAAAAGGCAAATTTAGTAAAAGTAGTTATGCTTGGATGATTCCAAAAGCCTTAATCCAGCAGTTCATGTTCTCAGTAGCTACCACCATAAGCTTAACTTAGTGCTGTGAGACATTTATTGCTATTACATGTGAATCAGGAGCTACACCACAAATAGATGGGTATTTTTACACCAAATGTACTGAAAAGTAGAGGGACAGTCTATCATTCACCCACCTTTGATAGTGCACATGGTATTTCAGGGCAAGCTACAAGATGCTCAAAAGGTAAGTAATTCTCATGTGATCTTGAGTTGCTGCACAGGTAAGGAACCAAATCCCCATTTTTATAGCTGTTGTGAAACCAACAACTGTGCACTTGCTGTGCACATTTCTAATGGCTATGTGTTCATTTGTCAGTCCTTTCCATTATCAGTACAGTAGCAACAGCATGGGATGCTAAACTCATCTCTGTGTCTGCGACATTTCATTTCCTTGTGTTTTCTGATTTAAAAGTGTTACATACCACATGGAAATCTCATTGAGCCGCCAGGATTATACTTGTGGAGGAGGCAATTAAAAAAAATGAAATGAACTATTTAATCCTTTCTTTTTAAAAGCATTTGCATTAGTATCAGCTTAACAGTAGTTAAATAAAAGGATTCTGAAAAACCAACAATAATTCTCAAACAGGAAATACTTTCAAAGGGTACCATTTAACATTCTGAGGTGGGGGGTGCACAGTAACCATATCCCTATGACAACACCAGAGAGGATTTGTATCTAACTGCAAGGATCTAATTTATTTCTCATATAATAATATCCAGTGGCCATTGTGAACATTTCATTATCATGGAAATTAAAGACAACACAAAGAAATTAATGTTTTAAGAGAAACCTAGCATGGTCCATTAAACTCTGCCTTTTATTGTCTGTATAACTGTAATAAGATACGTTTTCTCCCTTTCTGTAATATATACACATACATTTCTGAATAATGGGAGTAACACTTTCCATAAATTACATACGAAAGCTTTGAGGGCAAGCCACTAGCTCAGCACAACAGTCTTCATATTTCCATATAAATGTACACTGTGTACTTTTTTCTTTTCTCGATTGTCACACGCCCCATAAAGCAATACAATTTATCCCAGTAGATGTTAACTCTTGCTAATTTGTAACGATCACAAATCATGGCTAAGTTGAACAAAGCGAGGATTTTTTCCATTATTACCAGCAAGGGCCAACAGGAGTTGGCCTTCAGAAAGAGATGGCAGTTGACTACAAGCCAGGATATGTAGTTAGACTACTATCTTCTGTGGTTTGGGTTAGAAAGAACAGGGAGAAGTCCCAATGCCCAGATCAGGCTAAAGGCTTTATATGTGTGGCAGTAGAACTCCACATCCATGACCCTACTTGGATAGGAAATCTCCTGAACAAAATTGATGCGCCCATGATGATGACATTCTCCAACCTGATCTAGCAACCTGGGGCTACACTTTCACACCCACACTTTTTCAAGAGGAGAAATGTAAGGCCATATTTAGGTCTCCCTTACTTTACTTTCTCTTCCCTGCCAAGCAGGTGATTGGTATGATTAAGCTTATTTTTACAGGGAGGCTAGGCATGCAACCTTTGCTGCTGTGCAAGCACTGAATTAGATCGGTGCCTACACTGTCAGGTTAATTTTCCTGAATATTTGACACTGGATCTTTGGCGTTTGAAATGTCTTTCCTTCTATGGTTTGAACAGAGGCACGTTCTTTGTGACACAATACTTTTATCTCATTAAACCAGAACTTTTATGGTCTCTGTCCAGTGGCTCTGACCACAAAGCGCCACTGTTTAGCTCGTTAACCAAGGAATGTACAGTGGAATGCACAAAATTGGTGTGCTCACTCTTGTCATGCCAAACAGCAGTAGCCTGTCTACTCCCATGTTATCCGCAGGGGAGAAATATTTCATTCCAATACTGTTCCTACATTGTAATTTGAGTGGAGAGTTATCTAGCCCCATTCATTTTTGTTTGTCCCCATTCCGAAAAGTACATACAGTAGGAGCTATCCCAGAACACCTTTCAGAAAAGCGTATGAAGATTCTAACTACAATTTCTATCCAAGAAGATGGAAGTAGTTTTCCCCCTTTCCCTCTGGGCACTTGGGATAAAGCTGCTGTTAATGGTGAGGAAGAGGAGAAGCAGGACCAGGGAACTCTGGGATTCAGCAATGTCTCAGCAGATGCTCAAACATCCAGTCCTGCCAGAGGATAACTACCACATGCCTAGAAAAAGGATTTGGGACCTATTTTAGCCAGGAGGCACATGTTGGTGCTGGATGGAACCACAAGCATAAGTGGCAGAAAAATTATTGTAGATTTTACCTTTGCACTGAAGGCTACTTTCTATACACACATACCTCTTTCCTGTATCCAGGCAATCAAAAAGCATTACCAGAGTTCAAGGACACATTCATGTCAGGCAGCATGTGAAGCAAGGCCAGTGAAGGATGCAACCTGGGGGGAGAGGGTGTGGATAAGGAGTGTGTGTGCCTGGAGAGAGCCAAATAGAGAGGATTGGAGGGTTGCATTTTGCTACAGTGCTGAAGTTCCCTGCCCCTGGACTAAAACATAGTGCAATTGACAAATAATACTTATTTCTGTTAAAGAAGAGGAAATAGACCAGCTATGCAGATCACAAGTTAAAAGCCTTTCAGTTTTACAGTGTAGACAATAGGTGCCAAGTCTAATAGCCATTTCTGCTTCTAATTGCCAACCTTTGAAGACAGTTTAGAAATTGTAGCTGGTGCAGAATTAAATGACCAGATTGCTGATCAGGGCAAGACAGTCTGAACATATAACAACAATCCTGGCATGACTTCATGGGCTGACAATTAGTTTCTGGGTCCAATTAAACTGCTGCTTTTGACCTATAAAGCCTTATGCTGCTCAGGACCCTAATATCTCAAGGACTGTGTCACCCAACATCAACCAATTCAAATCCAGCAGTCATCATCTGAGGCCCTTATCTGTGTTCCCCCTCGGAATGAGATGTAGAGGGCAGCAACATGAGAACCAGCCTTCTCAGTAGTTAGTGCCTTCCCAATTGCAGAAGGACCTCCCCAGGGATGCACATTGAGCACCATAAGTATCTGTTTTAGGTACCTTAATTTTCTGCTTATCTCTTTAGTGGGGTGGGTTGTGTCTGATCTGTTCTTTTATGCTTATCACCAGTGAGCATTTTAGTTGTTTTTACTTGTTTTTCTTTTCTTTTCTGGAAGCTACTTTCGAGTCACTTTTATGAAAAATAGTGAATTATGATTACTACTACTCAGAAAATAGGAAAGACTTGCCAAGCTTTTGTAAACACATCATCTTCTAAATTATTTTCTAAAATCAACTATGATATCAATTTGTAGTAACTTAATTAAGATATCAGAACACTGAAAACAGCTTTATCTGATGGCATTTTGGCTTGTTCTGCTTAAGGACAGAGACCTTCATCAGTGTTTATTTGAAGATTATAATAAGTGATGTAGATGACTCATTCTCATCATCATGTTAGAATCAATCCAAACACTGGATGTCTGGGCTGGAAAGGCATGCAGAATATGCAAGCATCTGTTAAGCCACAAAGAAAGTTTGGAAGATGGAAAGAAAGAAAAAGGCCTTGATCTATCCTTTGATTGCACAGGACAAGCTTTTCATTAACTTGATAAATGCTTTCTCACAGACTCTTTCTGTGACACCGCACAGCCTCTTCTTATTTTGCAAAACCATTCCTAAATAGTAATAATTTCTAGAGTGCTTCCTGTGCTGATCTCATTCCTCTGGCTATGAAAACTTGAGTTCTCTGAACTAGTCTTGCAACTTCATGCTGCCTCCTCAATGACGTTATTGCCCATGAAGGAACAGTGTGTGGATAGTGGTGGCTGATACTCTCACTTAAGTGCTACAATATCAACACTGAACAGAGAGGAACAAATCAATTCAACAGAGGCCCCTGTAGGGCTGAGACTGGAGTGTAAAGTTTCAAGAGAACAACAGGTTCAAATTGCACATTATGCTTAATGTGTAGCAAAGTTTCTTATGTTTCTTTAATGAATTACAATGGAGAGGATTCTTAAAGAAATCATCACATGTAGAAAGGAAGGTTTATCACTTCCATCCCCAGATGCGACCTCCTGAATATTGCCCCCTCCCCCAGTTTGGGGGGAGTTTCTACTGGTGCTATTTTCTTATTCTAAACCTGGTAGCTGCAGTTGGAGGAGGAAGGGGCTCCATGCACTGTGATTCTAATTAGCAATCTCTCCCCGTGCTTGTCATAAATTAATTAAAGAAAAACAAGAGACAGAGCTGCATGCTATATATTAAGCTAACATGCAGTTTGGCACTGAAGATTCCAGACTGGAAAGAACACTGGACCCTCCAACACCTCAAAGACTATTGTTGTATAAAACATACACTCTCCAGCACCATCCTAGGACTATTAGTATTTGTATGGTGCTTACAGCTACATACCGATTTTTTGAAACTGCCTTTTTTATTGTGTCTAAGAACTCTGGCAATGGTCTGTCCTAGCATTGTTACCTCTTTTAAGTTGTCTGAACCTGGTACCTCCTGTGTAGACAGTGCATGCTTAACTTTTAAGTCACAGCCCTTCCACAGAGGGAGGAAGAAATAGAGTTATACTTGGAGAACTTGCAGTTCTTTGACAAAATGCTACCCATTCATTAAATGCAACAAATATGGGATTCCATTTATTTCCAGAATCTAGCAACTCACCTATCTTCAGCCTCAATCTATGGCATCAATAACATTTTCCTTTTGTTCACAAGTAGGTTGATGTCCCAGTTAAGCATGGTTACAGAAGCTCCAGGTATTCAAAACAGACTAAGCCCCAATTTTTTTCCAAAACAGCCGAATACACACCACCACTATTGTTTGGTCCTAAATATCTGAGCCCTGAAATCTAATGCCTTTGTGTTGGACATACTAGAGCTGCTGATGGTGTAATATTTTTGAGTAACCAGCTGGCTGAGCAGCCCACCTTCCATATTCTTAAAGATCCATTTCTGAGACCAATACACTAGATGTGTGGGTTACTTAAATCAGGACAAGTATTACATTTACCACGCTAAAACTCCAGAACAGAGAGCTGTACATAAAAATACTGATTTGTTTTACTGCCCTGATTTCATTCTTCTTCTAATTAGTGAAGTAACCTTGTGTTGTTAGTTACAATTATCATTCCCATTTTACGATGCAAGGTCTTCGGGTAGAAGACAAGTGATTTGTCCAAGGCCACCTCATGTGTCCATGTAAAGACTAAATATGTTCATTCTAGGCCAAAGTCCAACATTGGCCTAGGAATTCTAGGCCAAAGTCCAACATTCTGCTTGTATCTCTCTAACTTTTAAAGGATACTTTAGGTTCAGTAAAAAGTAGAGGAAAACTTCACTGTATTAACACCTATGGCTGTGTTTCATCTTATTGTGCATTAACAGTTGAAAACTAGAGTTTGCAGACTGACAAATCCTGAAGAAAGTGTAACTAAACCTGTCAAACAAAAATGTCATCTTATATATTGATATGACTAAGTACTGCCTATCAGCAAATGGAATTTCCAACAGACTGCCTTGTGACATTTCCTATTTCTTCATGCATTTTGCTCCTGTGGCTCTTGCTATGACTGAAAGCAGCAGGGTGATCGTCTCCGCAGTGGGAAGTGAAGCACCTGCTGCTGAGAGTAATGATTGTGTCTTTACTAAATCTTGGATCTATTTATGTGCATTTGACCACTTAGATATATTAACAGCAAGCTCTCCATAGGTTAAGTAGTTAAATACTTTGGAACACCAGCTGAGAAGCTGGTAGATGTCACCTTCAGTGTCTATTGGGGCCAAGAATAACTGACAAATCAAGACGGCCCTTCCATTAAATATGGCAAACCAATCAAAAGAAAAATGATGACCTTTTAGCCACATTGCTTCATGGGAAGAAGAAAAAACAAACTTTCCATCTGCTAATGAAGTAAAAAAAAAAAGTGAACTAAACATTGTTAATTGCTGTAGGCTGCAATTACTCCCAACACCTTCCTCAACAATTCTTTTAAATGGTCTCACTGGGATAAATAAATAAAAAATCTGTATTTACCTGACCATTATTAACTAGTTCCTGCAGTTATTTCAAAGATGGTGTTCTTAGTCTACACCAGGCATGTCCAACAGGTAGATCGCGATCTACCGGTAGATCACTGGACGTCTGTGGTAGATCACAAAGCTCAACAATTTGGCTGTCAATAACAGGGTAGATCACAGCCAGTATTTTTATACTGTGAGTAGATCACAGTCTCTTGGGAGTTGGACATGCCTGGTCTACACTATCTCTCACAATGTTATGGAGTGGGGCCTCGAGCCTGATTCTGGCTCACTATTGTCTACACAGACTGGCAATGGCTCTCCAGGGTTTCAGACAGGTAGTCTTCCGCTGAACTAACTAGAGATATGGAAGACTGAACCTGGGATGTTGAGCTACAGCCCTTCCCCAAAGCTTTGCTCTTAATGTCAAGGCCTTCTGATGTCAGGGTCTGATGTCACAATGCTAATTACAGACAATAAAATACTGGAAATTATGCTACATCACTAGCACCTTTGAGGCAGAGAGGACATGTTACAATAATAAGTTTTGGCGTGCTTTGAGGGTGGTTTCCCAGCCTCTTGCAACAGTGTTGTGTAGTCAGTTACCTTGATGAGAGTTCTAGCTGCCTGCACAGTGGCTCCTTTTTAAAAGCATGTGCTGACCATCCCATTTCTAGACACCAGACAGAAAGTGTAATTGTCTTTCTCATAATAAGTTTATAGAAAATAGAGATGATTCAGCTGGGAGTGGATTTACATAAATAAAACAGACATAGAACAACCTGCCCTGGGGCAAAGAATTGATTCAGTTACAAACTGGGGCAGTGGGGGGGTACATTTAGTTTTTCAGTCTCTTTCTAGTTGATGGGCAACCCAAAGCATCCTGAATGCTGGTGTCAGAAGTAGAGAGAGGCAAGGAAACTAAAACCTAATCCCAGCGAGATGGAAACGCTGCTAGTTGGTGAGCCCTATGGTGTGGGTAGAGACTTACACATCTATGCTGGATGAGGTTGCACTCCTCTACCACTCCCAAAAAGTATGTTTGCAGCTTGTGGCTAATTCTGGATCTAGTACTTTTGGATAAACAGGCAGCAATAGACAGAGGTGCCTTAAACTAGCATGTTGGTTCACCAGGTGTGGGTCTTTCTAGGGAACTTGGAGTTAGCCACAGTTATTATTCCCCTTGAAATAACTTACATTTCTATAATATCTAGACATGCAGCTTCCCTTGAAGACCATCCAGAAACTTCAACTAGTCCAAAAATAATAATCCCCAGGAGTAGAAGACATCTGAAGGCAGCCTTGCATTGGGAAGTTTTGAATGCTTGATGTTTTACTGTGTTTTTATATATGCTGTAAGCCGCCCAGAGTGGCTGCGGAAACCCAGCCAGATGGGTGGGGTATAAATAATTTATTTATTTATTTATTTATTATTTTTACCACACATACAAGACATTTGAAATCTTAACTGACTATTTATCCATGCTCTGGCAGAATTCAAGGTGCTAGCATTAACCTTTAAAGCTTTTAGTGGCCCAGGAACAACACACCCTAAGAACATCCTTTTCTCATATAAATAAATACTTTTTTTTTTTTTTAAAGTAACTTTAACTTGATCTGTGCTTGACTATTGTGTATTTTGTGAAACATGTCACTTAGCTGTACATATCAGGCTTAGCAGCCTGCAATTTTTACAACCTTTATTATAGGTTATGGAGGGAAATATGACTTACTATGATGTACAGGGAATGTTTAACTTTATACCACTTAAGTGTAACTAAATAAACCCCTTCAAAGATGAGTCCTGTCTCACACTTGACTGCAAATGAAGGACATCATTTATCCTCTGGAGCCAATCTGTCTCACTAAAGATATATTTAAGTGCAGAAGATACAATGCCATCACGCTTTTCTTTTCTTTGCAAAGAATGACATGTAAGGGGATAATTTGTTACTCATAGGGTTTAAAGAGCAAATTGGAGTAGTCAACATAATTATTGCCTTGCTCTTTAAAAAAAATGACAATGCAGTCCTCTTTAGATCATTTTGCATGAACTTATTCTGTGAAGCCCAATGGATTGAAACAAAAATAATGGGCAAGGTAATGCTTACTCTGTGGTTAGAATAAAGATCTGCACTAATGTAATCCGAGGAAACCTTGCCTTCTGAGATTCAAATAAGTTATGATTAAGCAGATTTGCCAATATCTGGATATTTTGCACAATTGATTCTTCTTCTGAAATGCTTGAGTGTAGCACTGTGTAAGGTGCTGTGTGAGTGCAAGAGAGAGATACAAACTGAGGCTCCAGCCCTGACCTCCTGAAATTCTAGATCCATATTGCTTCTATGTTGCTTCTGGATTGGACTTCCTTAGGGTTGTCATTTAGCCTGTTATAAAGACTTCCGGGTTGGCGCCTCTGGCAATGGCAGATTTCCTCCGATTGGGAGGAATCCGCTCCGTGGAAAACAGGGTCTGAACCGCCACGGCGAGGCGGAGACCCATCAAAAACCACAGGCGGGAGAAGCCTGTGGACGTGGGATTCGGCTGGCACCCCTACTCGCGGGGAAACCCTGTTTTGGGGATCCGGAGCGACGTGGGGTGAGTGGCGCGGTGCTTTGAATCGACTGCTTCTTTCACGGAGTGAAGCCGCATTGCTGTTGCCAGAGAGCGCTGACTTTTCCTGTGGACAATTGGATTTTAAACAACTGCCCGTGAGTAGAACGGAAAATTGGACTATGAAATTTCTTAATTTGGCACCGAAGCGGGAAGGTCTAAACAGGAAGTCCGCCTTCCGCTTTTGTAGATAGATTGAAGCAAAGACATGGCAAGCTAGAGCTTAGAAAGTCGTCTGTAAAGGATCAAATTTTCATCATTTAAAATTACTGAACCCCCCTTGGAAGCAGGAGAAGAGGGGGGAACTTTTTTTTTTTAAGACTGTTTAAACCTGCAGAAGAGAGAGTAAAGAAAGGTAATTTTCCACCGTCTTGAACCTGGGAGTGGGGTGTCAGGACAGAAGTTTTGGGGAAGTTCATTGACTATGGACAAACGTTTTTGACAGATAGTTAAGAAGAGAAACATATTGACTCCATTGTTCCCTTTCGCATTTAAAAGGAACAAAATATCGACAAAATACCCGAAAAAGGAAACTTTGTTGCTAGATCTGCTTTTTTAAAAAAAAAGATGGATACAAATAGAAATTGTTTCCCCTAGAGGGAGCTTGTGAAACTGTTATTAAAGTTGAACTGGGGAGCGCTGCAGCTGTAAAGATTAAAGATCGTGGGACCAGACTTCGACCTTGAACAAGAATGTGCTCAGAGGCTCTGGTGCTTGCCTTTTGCAAGACAAGTGCTTTATTGGAACAGTTACACGAGAAGATGGATTTGATGACTGTTGCGATTGGAAATTTTGGACAGGCAGTGGGTACCTATATAGAACCCACTCAGGAATTAATCCAGGGATGTGCTTTGACAGATCAGATGAGGGAGGAGGTTGTTGCTGGACCTCGGGTGGCAGAGATGGAGGGAGCTGTGGCCCAGCAGGAACATGAGTTATTGGATTTGATGAACGAACCTGGAAAAAGTCAGATTCGGAGAGATGGAGTTCTGTTTGGCTTGGAGATGGGGGGCTGGATAGACCCCCCTATGCAGGGATGTTTTGACCTTTCAAGTCTGGCTTTGCGCCGGGGGGAGCTCGGAATTGTAGGGGCCCTTAACTTTGGAGGGACCTTGAAACATGCCTTTAAATACCACATGGATTTCAGTGTTGACTATGGAAAAGGGGCTGACTTGCCGAGAAGGGACAAAAATATTGTCAAGCTGGAGTCTCCCCGAGTGAAAGGAGCAGAAGACAAAGCAAAGTACAGGTATAAACATGAAGAAGACCTGCGAAAGGGACATGGAAAAGACTTAAGAGCCTCGGATATAAGGTCACCAGGTTGATGGACTAGATGGATGGGATAGAAAGGACTAACAAAACCCGAGACCAGGAAGAAGAGACGATGGATGAAGATTGGAAGAAAGTTTTAAAAATTTATTTAGAAAAGTATCGTAAAATTAATGAGTATTAGAAAAATGTTGGAATGAAATTATTTGGCTTTAGCAGAAATGTTAAAAAGAATTATGTAAGAATATGTTATGGTTAAAAGAATTTGGTATAAATAAGATTTAAGTTTTAAGTTTTAGGGTTTTTATGGTAAGATAAGGTTAAAATAGATTAAGGTAATTTAATGACAGAATATTGTGAAAGATGGAAAGGATTTGCTGAGATAATTAACAACTAGAATACAAAAAAGGGAGGTGTGAGGAGGTCGATGAAATAAGTTAATGAAAGTTAAGGATTTGGGAATATTGGATTTGTTTTTAAATTTTTTGTTTATTTTTGCTTTTTGATTTTGATGCATTGTGTGTTTTGTTTTTTTCTTTTTGACTTTGGTTTTTGATTTGTATTGTTTAATTGTTACTTTTATCTACTTTTTTCTTTCTTTTACTCTTTCTCTTGTTTTTTCCTTCTTTTTTCTGTGTCATTTTAAAATTCTCAATAAATATCTTTTTTTTTTAAAAAATTAGCCTGTTATACACAACTTCCTGCCTACTCTGGATTATTCTACTTGCTTCTGGCCCTTCTGAACTTCAGCTGCTGTTTTTGGAACTCAACTCCTTGCTTGTCTTGGATAATACTCCTAACTTGTTCAGGTTGACAGCTTGCTCCCCAGAGCCTGAAAACTGAACTACTGCTGCCCAGTACTACCAGAACCCAAGTTTTTATAGGCCTCCCTGTGATTAAAATGTATCATAATTATTAGTATATACCATCCCTAGTGGAACATACCAACTAGTATTAACATCTCCTGCATAACCGAAGTAGTAGAGCCATTTATTGTTGTTTAGAATAAGTCATCACAGCTAGACATAGTCAATACACAATTTTAATGTTTCTTAAAGTTGTGTTTTAAAACTGCTATCGTGAGTTTTATGGCAATAAAAATAAATATGCTGCTCTACTTGTGAGTCATAAATAATACTTGGCTGTGGTCACAGAGACCATGGGAATTCTGCATTCTGAAACCAAATGTCTGTAACACTTGACATTTCTGGATGTCTGCATCTGTTTACATGAGGAGTGTAGTAAGCAGTTGAAAAAAAACTCACTGGGAGTTTTCAGAGCCATCCAAGACAGCAATAAACAGCAAGCACCAAGATCCGCAGCTTTAAATTAAAACCTTTTGAAGGGCTTTTCATTACTCCAAGGGTCAGTGAAATGGAAGCAAATTCACTCAAGTTTTCCTATGAACCCATAAAGCCCGTTGTCAAGGGTATATTTTGTGTGCATTTTTTAAGTGCTTTCCTGATCAATCGACCAATCAATTTATTGAACCAGTCAGCAGACCTCACAATGAAATTTATACGTTCATTATCACAGAAGATATCACATGTTCTTATAACTTTATTGACAGTTTGCTGAATATGAATTTGCTTTGACTATTGAATTCACCCACTTCAAGGCATACTGCAGTTGTAATAAACAGACACATCAAAACTAATTTGTGAAACCAACAAGTTATGTAGCACTGCTTATTTTATCTTTTATCAAAAGAGCTTGCATGGATAGCAGTATGCTCAGAAGATTTGTCAAAATAGTTGCAATTCTATTTAGAACACTGATCCATTGGCTGCTATCAGCTGGAAATGGGGCTCTGGAGATTCTCTAGGAAAATCACTACATTAGGGCCAAACTAGATGTCACACAGTCTCTCACCTTATTGTAAATAAAAAGCAAGGAGCTGCCAATATGAATGGAGCAACAGCATGAGGGACTTCCCAACCTTTCCCTTTTTTTGGAATTATACTGCTCAAACATGGCCCTCTCAAGTGGCTTTACCATTTTTGAGCAAAAATATATTTGACACTGGCTACCAGAAAGAATATCGTGGATCCATTTTGGTTCTATTTAGAGTGAGGAGAGCACACACCTGTAAATCCAAACAGCATTGTACAGGCAGTGTGTCCTGCTGTGTCTTTAGCAAGAACCCATGAAGCAAGGCAACCAGTGTCTCAGCACTTTAGATAGCTCCAGTGTTCAGATGAAAGCAAGAATTCGGCTGAGGCTTCATAACTCCTGCAGTCCAGATTACCTCTCCTAATCTCCATCCCTTCCCCACCTGTTCTCTTAGGTCAGCTTCCTGGACACAATGGGAGTGGCCCTCCTCTCATGAATTCTTGCCTGGTGCAATCCCTACATTGCTGGGCAGGGGCTTGGAGCAGGAGGTGCTTGGCTCTTTGGGTGACTTAAGCTTATTGATGAGGGTATTGGGTCTACAGCTCCATGGATGTCAGGTGGGCCAAATAATTGATTAGTCCTCAGATTTATCCAACCCTCCCCAGCAAATGCTCCAACCAGGCATAAACCAAAGGAACAGTTTCTTCCTTGGAAATGGTTCAATGAGTAATACATATTGACCCTTTCCTTCATTTAACTCCCTTTTAATGGCATGAAATTAATTCATTGTACTAAATGACAAAAACATGGTCATTATATAATCCTTTCACTTACATTAGAGGGCTGCTTAAGTCAAACCTCAAGTTCCATAATCAAGTTCTAAGTTCAGTCAGTGGTGGTCTAGGATTGTACAGCTAGTCAATGGTACAGAAGCAGAGGAGAGTGAAAAGCGTCATCAGCAGGAGCAGAAGTGGGACTGTCACAGTCTCTTTTAAAGGTACATAAACACGTCACAACAAAATGTCACAGTGATCACTTTTATCATTCTTTAACTTTATAGCTAGGAATCAGTCTGATATTTCATAAATGTCATCATCAAAATGCAATTTATATGTAAAATGATAAAGACTTTTATTTTTAAAGAAAAAAGTGACTATTTGCTAAATGGCTAGAAATGACTCCAAACAGCATGCAGCTGCATGTAACAAACTCCATTATTACTCCTACAATATAGTCCTCGGAGACAGTTTTCTGATGTATGAATGGAGCTGCTTTTGTTATCTTTCTGGGCTATTGATAAGTTTGCACTTAACAAAAGCAACTTGCTGGTCACAATTGTTGAGCTATTGATTTTTCTCAGCTACTTCTGCATTACCTTTGTTTCCTTTACTCTGCAAATAGTGATCCCTGTGGTGAAATAGCATTAGAGGGGCAGTATGATAAACTCTATTGTTGCTGAATGTCTCCCTTTGAAAATTTCCACTGGGATGGTGATGGCACTTGCTCATTGCTCTGTACACTTCCAATAATCTTACCCATTGAACACCATCTATTTTCTTGCTCAGATAGATGCAGGACTTGAGATTCTGAACAAAGTAAAATGCCATCCCGGCAGCATGGAACACAAAAGGGACTATAATTGCAGGAGCCTTTACATTCATACTACAAGAGAATGAGAAAGTGTATCATGTCTGTGTTCCTATTGTTCAGTCATGCACAATGAATATATTTATCACTCTGTGATTTTTCCAGATAGTCTGGGGGTAGGGGGAACTACAACCTTCAGAGCAACAAAATCGTATCAGAAAGCCAAACCTCAATTTTCTGTCTAACAAGCAGTCATCTAGCTAATCCATGTAAAATAAAAACAAATGTCAAATATATTTTTGTGCCTGTTGCATCAAAGGGCACAGATACTTGCTTATAACATTCAGAAATAAAATTAGCAAGTTTATACAATCAAGATTCAGAGCATCATTTCAGAATTATTATTCTATGGTTACTACCCTTAGAAATATGCTTTGCCAAAAAAAAGGGGTCTTATTTGTTTTAACAGAACCCTTTTTTGTAATGCAAACTGCAGACACGGTTTAAAATTTAAAGGTTTAAAGTTGCCCCTTCACATGCTGGAGTCCTAATCCAGATCATGAGCCCCATATTGTAAATTTGGAAAGAAAACATAACCCTGCATTGAAGGGATGACCTACTTAGGATAATAGAATTGTAGAACTGGAAGGGACCCCAAGGGTCATATAGTCCAACCCTCTGCAATGCAGGAATCCTGCTCACAGCTGCTCCTTGGGGGGCTCCAACCAACAATCTTCTGGCTAACAGCCAGATGCACTGATCCATTGCACCACAGGAGGATTAACATTATGTGCACTTTGGAACTCAGGGCTAGTTGATGACTGCTACTCCTAATGTGCAAATAGACTAGAGCATCACAGAAATGAGAGTACAGACAGAACTTTCATGTTATCTTAGATCATTTGAAACACAGCACTTTTCAAAGGAGACTGTTCACTTCCTCGGCTGTAGAGTGCTCAAGGAGCAGATAAGCTGAGGATGGTGTTCTTCTGATGGAAGGCATCCATGGAAAACTGCCTCCCACCCCAAACCACTGGTGGATGTCTTCCCTCAATAAAAGGACACTAACAGAACATTTACATATATGTGATGACTAAATCTGCATAAAATAAAGAATCCCAGAGTTTCCAATCTTATACAGTGGTACCTCAGCTTACAAACGCTTTGGGTTACAAACACTTGGGGTTACAAACTCTGCTAACCTGGAAGTAGTACCTCAGGCTGAGAACTTTGCCCCAGGATGAGAACGGAAATTGTGCACTGGTGGCGCAGCGGCAGCAGGAGGCCCCATTAGCTAAAGTGCGCCTCAGCTTAAGAACGGTTTCGGGTTAAGAATGGACCTCCGGAATGAATTAAGTTCGTAACCCGAGGTACCACTGTACTCTTCTAGGCTATGATGAGCCACAGTATTTTTGTTTCTTTGAAACCATTTGAATTTGACAGAGGAGTGAAAATAAAACAAACTCACTATGAAAAGATAGATCTTGGATTCCCATATTCTTTTATCAGTGCTCAAATGTTTTACTATAAATATATTCGTGCAATGTTGTAACATTTAACTGATACTCCAGATCTTTATCTCCATCAAACTCCAGACTAAGAGATCAAACACATTTAACCTATTCAGAAACAAAGTTACAATAAAAGCTACAAGTTTAAGTGATGTTACAAATGCAAACCAGATATGAAAACTCTGGACAAGTCCTATAGCTGTATGGTACACTTAGGGGTGGCTCTTTAATAGCTCCAGTAAGTATGATGCACACATATCAGAGCATTGTCTGAATTGTGATCTCTTATAATGCACAGATGAGCCAAAGCCTGCTCTGATGTAATATCTTTTTCATTTGCCATTATGTGCAGAGAACAATCCATCAAAAGTTAGTAGTGACAGTCAAAATAATGTCCCACTAAAATCAATGAAACTTAAGATAGCAGTAAATAAGACCTATTTCATTGTTTTCTCTGAGAGTTATACATGACAGGAGAAGTATTGCAACCACTAACGGCATAGGGAAGTGACCAGAGCCCGTGCTCTATAACTAAGCCATGGCCCTTCCACGATGCTGCAAAGTACCTTTTCGCCTAACTCATCTCAGTAAACGTACGCTCCTTTGAATCCTAGAGCCCAAATGGCATCACTAAGCATCTATTGTAACTTAATCTATTAACAGACATAAATGAACCTAAGTAAGATTTGGGATAAAAAGGCACCCCATGTAAAATATTCATATAGACATTTATGGCTGGGTGGCATTCAATCCTGTGCTAAGAGGGGTTTGCACATGGGGAATGTGGTCTGCTTGTGTGGTGGGACTTTATCTCTTCTCCCCCACACCCTGGACCAGCTAAACCAGTTCTGGGTTTTTCCCCAACTTGCCAGAACAAATTTAGGGGCCACGGTGAGAAGGGCGAAAGTCTTACTGCATGAGCAGACTTCATTCTCTGCACACAACAAATTAGTTGAATCCTCCCTGATATATGTTGCTCAATATGCACACCATAATCACACACACCCTATAATGAGATAAAATTTGCATCTACTTATTAATTTTGGCTATCAATACTGTAATAAAATACAATTGAGAACATTCATATCAGGATAAATAATAACATTAAAATGTATCTATGGGTCGTCAGGCCATGGGAATGGGTCAACAGCCTGAACCAGTTATTACTTCCGTAGGTATGTTTACATTTGGTTTATTGTACTTGGCTTGATTTTCAGAGACTAAGAAAAACTCTTCCAACATGAGGATAACGACAAGTAAGCTGACATGGATTGGCCACAGAAATAGCAATGTCATCTGCACACATGGATTGTTTATGACTCTGGAATGTGTCACCATGCCTTTTATATCTAGTTTCTCATAGGCATCTGGTTGGCCACTGTGAGAACAGGATGCAGGGCTGATCCAGCAGGTTTCTTCTAATGTTCTTAGATTGTCTCATGATGCAGTTGGCAAGCATTCTGCTGCCAATAGCAAAAAATAAGGATGAAAGAGACAGCTCAGTGAAGTGTCACAGTATGAGAGAAAAATGATTGTTACTTAACAGAGAAGCACAAGTTTCATTGGCCCAAAATTCATTAAAAGCAACAGGGATTTCAAAAATCTCCAATTTCATATGTTTTTCCCATACCTCTAAGATGACTGATACAGTCCTTTAGCCACACTGATAACATAAACGGTTGTCCTCACACTATTGGACACTGTTCTTTCGGTAATAAATCTTGTTGGATCTGGATAGCTGAAATAAGACTGCGGGAATTTCTATAGTTTGTGCTCTTAAATATCACTCTAAACAAAACAAACCTTGAAAATTTCAGAACAGTTTGGATTCTGCAGGCACGTGTGCAGACATTGCCGTAAACCTTGTTTTCCCCTCTTTCCCTTACAGTCCATGCATAGGCACAGGTTCATGACCTCTGTTTGGTTAAGGAACATTATACTGAGTTCCAGGACAGTGACAAGAGGGTAGGGATATAGGAGGCATGCACAGGTCTCCCAATGCCCACCATGGTCTGGTGCAGCGACCAAGTTTTTAAAGTTCTATATAAGTTGCATATTATTATGTTTATTATATTGTAGTTCACTCTGGGATTTCTTTTTTAAATGAAGAACAATTTAGAAATCTTCTAAATAAATAAATAAATAATTTCAAGTTAGATATTTGTGTGTGTGAGAGAGAGAGGCAACTGATCAAACAGAGAAATTGCATGAAATGCTATGAATAAATTTTATAGTGTTATTTTCCCCCAATTCTACCTTATCCCAAAAATGAACCATGATAATTAGCAGATCAGTTGCTTCAGCGAAAGCTCATGCACTTAATCTTTTATTCTTGCATTGGGAAACTTCATTTCTATATCAAAAGTCACATAGAACATGGAAATAATAAAGTCTAAGAATATAATGGGAGAAATCATTATATTTGTGTTTCTATATTCCCTTAATATGACATTTACAGAACTAACCATTACCTAGGGCCAAACTGTGCCTTTGCATACTTGTGCACAGCTCTTCTTGAATTTAATGGGATTTGAATGCAAGTATCTCAGAGATGCTTGGTCCTCTGGTTTCTACAGGAAAATAGAATTTTAAGGTCAAGTAAAGGTCAAAGTGACACTGTCACCAATTAAACAAATCTGAGCAAGTGCTATGTTTCTTTTTAAACAAAACCCCACAACTCAGGCTATGCAGTTTGCTGAATTGAAATAATTGTGACCAGTAAATATTCCATCTGTATGTATGCATTCATTCATCTACCTTTGTGTGTGTGCTGACATGTGTTTAAATTCTTCATTGCAAGGGGTGGGGGAACTGTTTTGGAAATATTTACCAAAACCGATCAAAGCCCCATAGGAGTACATTTATAATCTGTTTATATCTATCTGATCCTTTCCCTACGGAGTTCAGTGTTTATAGCTGTTTTTAGGGGGCACGGGGGGCTGCAGGGAGAGGAGAGGATGGACAACTTCTATCCCATGAATTTCCTTAAGCTAACACATCTTAGGATCCAAACCCAGTGCTTTTTTCCTTAAAAAAATGTTTAGGGGTACTCTCATTTTCCTACTCATACTGAAATACTGCCCCTCAAAGACGCCAAACCTAGATTCACAAAATGTTTAGGGGTATGCGTACCCCTGCAGGGTCCTTATAATAAAGCTATTACATACAATCATGCCATGTTATAACAGAATAACAGGCAGGGGAGGATGCTTGTATAGTCATGCCAAGTTTGTTAAGGCTGTTCCCACAAGCTTTTCTATTTAGTAGAATCAAGATATATATATATTCATGCATGATGCATTAATTATATGTATTGGATACCTCAGACATATATATATAAAAGACTCAAAAGTCACATCACACAATGTGAGCTTAAATGATAGTAATACGTTTAAGGTAGAGAGCTTGTTGACCTTTATGAATTCAGCCGCTAAGGCAGTTGATAAGAAAGAGATGTTTCATTAAAACTGAATTGTAGTGTTCTCCTCCCTCCCTCCCTCCCTCCCTCTCTCTTTGTACCTTAAATCTTTACTAGCTCCATTTTGTAATATTAAAATCATTTACATGAATGATTATGGGTCTTGTCCTTAAACGGTTGCCCATTGCCCTAAAGAAAATGTTTATGACCTGAGCAGAATAATTATATTCTCCTATTAAATATCACTCCTTCAGGCCTAGTTATTGTTGAGGGTAAATGTGCCACTTTATATGCAAATAAAATGCAGTGAGAGTCAAATAAAAAGTTCTGCATACATCTACTGACAAATCATCTTATTATGTTTTACATTAACTGACAGAACATCTAGTGGGATGAAATGTTAATAGAGTTCAACAGGATGTTCCGTATTGCTTTGCTCACATGAAATCTTAGTTATGTGGAAGCCATGGTCTATGAAGAGAGGGGAGTTTAAATGTTGCAGACCCACCAACTCCAGTAGTCATCAGATCCCCTCCTCCAAACCCTGAAGTCAGCTAACCTTTTATTTTTATTATTATTATTACCCACTCTACTCCAGTGTGGAGTAGAACAATTATTTAAATTTCATTTTAGTGCCTATTTCTCTTAATATACACATTATACTGCAATATATATTATGCACACATTTTCTGTAATACAATGCATTATACATATAATTTTCACAAATGAGTGTATCTTTATGCACACTAATTTATGCATTCTTGTACATATTTCTTAATCAGAGAACTACATACAGAACTCAGAAAGGTGGACATTTCAAAGGAAAGCTATGTATTGTTTCAGGATGTGTAAAATATGTAGGTGCACATTAAAATGTGAAGTGAACCAAATTTCTTCCTCGTCCCTAGCTGCAGAGGGAAGGGAATTCAGTAGATCTCAGTCCTGGTTGGAAAAATAGTTAGGATTCGTCATAATTTTTATTCAACAGCTGATCAGAAACATCTTGATTTATACAAAGCTCCTTCTAATATTGTGAAAGTGGGTTGGAGAAAAAGAATGATGGTCAAATTGTTCTTTTTAGTGTGGCAGAGAGACCACTATATTTCACTATATTTCAGACGAGAGCCTTTCATTTCAAGATAATGTACTGACTTAATCACCACTTTCCAAAACACAAAGCATCCAATCACTTTCCCCTCCTCTTTTGTTCATTTTTTTTAAAAAAAGAACAGTTGCTTTTCAATCTATCTGTGCATGATTTTCCACCCACTAGTCTCACCCTATATATGGCAATTCTTTTCCACTCCCACCAAGCTTATTTTTGTAACTATATTGAAATCTTATGCATAATGATGGAAGGGTTGCTATGGAGATTGTGTGTGATTTGTCATGAGGAAAATCTATTGTGTTTGAGATCATTCTCCACATTAATGACCTGAGAATCTTTTTGCTTTCATCCTCAGGGGATTAGGAAGGGGGGGAACCACCTACATAGATATCAAGCCCTACAAACAAAATAAAACCTTATGACCATCAATGGGTGTTAACAGAATCATAGAATTGCAGAGTTGTAAAGGGGTCATCTAGTCCAACCCCCTGAAATGCAGGAATGTCAACTAGATCATACATGACAGATGGCCATCCAACCTCTGCTTGAAAACCTCCAATCACCATCATTTTTAGAAGAGTCCACTGCCTCTTGTGGGAATAGGTTCCACTGTCATACAGCTTTTACCACCAGAAAGTTCTTTTCCTGTAACTTGAATCCATTGATTCAAGTCCTAGCCTCTGCAGGAGAAAACCAGCTTGCTCCATCATCCATGTGACAGCCCTTTAGATATTTGAAGATGGCTATCAAATCTCCTCTCAGTCACCTCTTTTCCATGCTAAACATACCTGATTCCCTCAACTGCTCCTCATAAGGCTTGTTTTCCGGACCCTTGATCATCCTGGTCACCCTCCTCTACACAAGTTCCAGCTTGTCAATATCCTTCTTAAACTGTGCTGCCCAGAACTGGACACGGTACTCTAGGTATGGTCTGACCAAGGCAGAATGGAGTGGTACTATTACTTCCCTTGATCTGGACACTATATTTCTGTTGATGCAGTCTAGAACAGCATTCAATTTTTTTATATTTTTTGCTGCTGCATCACGCTGTTGACTCATAGTAAGCTTGAGGTCTACTAAGACCCCTAGATCCTTTTCACATCTTTACAATCCAAGTGTACTCCATCTTATATGTGTGCTGCTGGTTCTTCCAGCACACAGAGGCTAATACTATCACTCACAGATGGTATATAATTAAGCACATTTAAGAGTCTGTGGTCTCATGAATCCTGTATAAGAAAAATTTTAAGTGTCTTCGCAATTAATTATTTTCTCCTCTTGAAATATCCTGAAACACTGCAATTAAACTGGTATGCATCTACTTAAGGTAACAATCTCAATCTATATATATGTAGTAGTTAGAAAACTCTAATATACAATGTCTTCAATCCATGCTGCATTTGCTATAGATAGATATATAGATGATATAGATATAGATATATTGATTACTGCATGCCACTCAGAAGCAATTCAGGCTATCCAGTTTGCACCAAACTATAGCTAAAAGCTTAGCTTCAGATTACAACAAGGTGGCATTTCTCCCATACCCTACACACCAGCTGAGGCTCAGGAAAATCTAAGAGAAAATGCATATTAACTGCTTAGAAGCTCCAAGTTTTCAAGGGTGACCATAGCTTTCTCAAGAGACTGAAGTCAATCCCTTAAAGAGAAAGATAATAACATGGAAGGGAGTTTCCGAACACGGAAAGATACAGTGGTACCTCGGGTTAAGAACTTAATTCATTCCGGAGGTCCATTCTTAACCTGAAACTGTTCTTAATCTGAAGCACCACTTTAGTTAATGGGGCCTCCTGCTGTCACCATGCTGCCGCTGCACGATTTCTGTTCTCATCCTGAAGCAAATTTCTTAACCCAAGGTACTATTTCTAGGTTAGCAGAGTCTGTAACCTGAAGCGTCTGTAACCTGAGGTACCACTGTATATGAACTGGAACATTACAGCTGTCCACTTCAGCTAGTGAGAAGTCAAACGTTTAGGATCCATTTAATAATGCAAAAGCTATGTCCAGCTCAGACTACATAAGCATTCTCTAAAATAGCCAACTGTTTTATGGTATACTTCTTGTTGATGCACAACAGTCTCCATGGCAAGAAAAAGACAATGGGCTAGATCAAAACTAAGTTAGTTAACTTGGCCCACTAATTTCATTGGGATCCTAGTTTGCCTAATCAAGATCTAACCTAATAGATGTGTTTGTTTATTTGAATGCATATTACACTCTTACTCAATGGGCTCAGGGAGCTTATTTCATTTTCATTAATTTTAAATATAATAAAAGATTTCAAATAAAAATACTTTAATTAATTTCAGACCGGAAGCCATATTAGCCTGATATAGGGAGGAAAAAGCAATACAGATTCTGGTGAACCTTAGAAAATTAATAGACTTACTGTGGCTTAAGCTTAAATGTTCCAAAATCCACTTCGTCTGTTGCAAATTTGCTTTACGAAGAGTACTCTAAATTATAGAAGTAAAAAGGTAAAGGGACCCCTGACCATGAGGTCCAGTCGTGACCGACACTGGGGTTGCAGTGCTCATCTCGCTTTACTGGCCGAGGGAGCCGGCATACAGCTTCCGGGTCATGTGTCCAGCATGACTAAGCCGCTTCTGGTGAACCAGAGCAGCGCATGGAAACGCCGTTTACCTTCCCACCGGAGCAGTACCTATTTATCTACTTGCACTTTGATGTGCTTTCGAACTGCTAAGTTGGCAGGAGCGGGGACCGAGCAACGGGAGCTCACCTCGTTGCGGGGATTTGCGGCAAGTCCTAGGCTCTGTGGTTTAACCCACAGCGCCACCCGCGTCCCTATAGATTATAGAAGTATTACTCTTTAAAAGTACTGTACAAGACACTCTAACATTTGAACATTTCTATTCCCCTTGAGTTCTACTATTCCCTTTCATCCTCCTGAATACATATTCTATAAATTAAATATTGTAGTCAATGAAATAAATTTGTAATTACGGTAAATATCCTTCCTTCAATTAATTTATTAATGTTGCAGTGTCTACACCAGCCTTCCTCCAACAGTTGCCCTCCAGATCCTTCTGGATATCATTTCCCCTCATCCCTGACCTTTGGGCATGCTTGCTGTGGTTGATGGGAGTTGGAGTCCAACAGCATCTGAAGATCACCAAGTTGGGGAAGTCTGCTCTATATAAACTAGATGCATCTGTCAAAGTGGCTCTAGCCAGCAAAAGCATATGACATGATGATTTGTTAGTATTTTAAGTAAAGTGCCACAGGACTCTGTTGTTTTGCTGCAGCACAGATTAACACTAATTATATTTGGAGGAAAATTTAGATTAGCACTGCTACTCTTCTCGAACTTTTCCTAGAATATTTTTTTAGGCACTGATGGCATTTCAGCTTTGTTATAAAAACATTAAGTGAATAGCATTCATGATTGCAGAGATAACCCTGAAGATCTGTGCCCTAACAAACATTTCATAAATATGACTATGGCTGCAACCCTTAACCCACCGACCTGGGAATAAATCCCACTGAAGTCAACCCCATGCTGAGTAGGCATGCATAGGATTTACAATATAAATGAATGGCTACAGCCAGTAGGTGACATTTTACAGGTACACAAATATCTGTGAACTGGAATTGGGATGCTACTGCAGTGGGATCAGTGGGCATAAATTAAAGAGAAACATAGGCACATACAGTCTGCCTTCTCCCTCCCAACAGCAACAAATCATATAGTCATATAACAAAAAGGAAGGCAGAAATAAATAAATAAAAACACCCAATAAATCAGGAAACATAAAATATACAACTAAAAGGACAAAAAATAAAAAATAAAAATAAATCCAGAAAACAGAAAAAAAAAAGTTAGGCCAGTTCCATTTCAAATTTGTGTCTTTAAGAATACAATCTTTAAGATACAGTTATATATATCTGTTAGAATGTAACCATCCACTCAGTCAAAGGTAAATGTTTCAAGTCTCCATTGCTGTAGGCAGTCTCTGTGTCCCATTCACAAAAAAGCTCGCCCGCAGAAATCGGAAGCTGACTTCCTGTTTTGCTTCCGTTTCGCCAAATTAACTTTTTAGCTTCTAATTTTAATTTTAAATGTTTTGACATTTATCTCTAATTGGAAGATCTACTGCTTCTGGTGACAGATCATAGCTTCGGCAGCAGGCTGCATTGGTGTCGAGAGTGAACTCAAGCCTCTTCCCCTTCCTCCTGCGCACACGGTGGCAGCCTGGAAACGTTCAGGGGGTGAGTTTTTCCACTCCGCTGGAGTCCTCAGGTCCCCACTCCTCTGTGGGGGTTTTTTGGGGGTGCGCTGAGCTGTAGCGCAACCCTTGAAGCCTCTCTGCCAGCTCTGTGTCGAGGATGACACTTGGCGCACCGCCATTGTCCTCCACAGTAGACCGGAAGTCAGTCTGACTTACTTCTGAGTACATACAGGTAGGGTTGCCCTGGTGATCACACTTATATGTTCAAGTTGCCTAGGATATCGTCCATCGGGTCATCCCATCTTATTACATAATAACTGATCCAAGATAGCTCTTCAGCTTCACCTGGTTAAACTTTTTGACTTTCCTAAAACCCTTCAGATTTTGGTGACGTTTCAGTTATGACTCTAGCAGCTAGAGTCTGGTCATGTCTGAGTAGCTGAAACTGAATCTTCATGATACCCTAACACCCGAGCTCAGGGGTAGCCAAAGTGGTGCTCTTGAGATGTTTTGGACTACAGCTCCCATCAGCCCCGGCCAGCATGCACAATGGCAAGGGATAATGGGAATTGTAGTTTACAACATCCAGAGGGCCCTAAGTTGGCTACCCTGCCTCTTAACTCCTCACTGCATTGGATCTCTCGTGAGCATGTTTTAGTATTTGGAAAGCATAGTTTACTAGATTTCTAGGGAGCCAGTCAAAATGCTGCACTACTATATTTACATTATTACATCAAACTACATATTCAATGTTACTATTAAGCATCTTATACACATACATACAGCACTAACATTAGATAAGCCTGGTCAAGTACTATTGGATAAAATATAAAACTGCAACTTTATCTCCTGAATTCTCTACTGAAGCAAACCTACTGATGAGAGAGGGAAAGCTACAGGAACAGTAACTTGGACTGGCAATGAGGCTTTAAGCCAAAGGACTCCAGTATCATTTTCATGTTTCATGGTAATCATCTGCCTTGGACTTTAAAAGCATGCCTCATCACCTTTATTGTACCATTTCTGAGCACCTTCTTGCCCTTTACCCTTTATAGACTTTTTTCCAGTGTAGCTGCTTGCTTAAATATCCTTCAAAGTGCCATGAAATGTGAAAGATTCATTAAAATATACGGTGGAACAGATGGAGAAGTGCCGCTTGGGGCAAATAATGAATTTAGGATTCAGAGCAGACATCATAACAACATACACAAACATATGTTCCCCTACTATAATAATGCTCATCTTTTGGACCTGTAACCTTTTAACGGCACAATTAAGGGTAGTAAATTTCATAGAATACTGCTAAATTAAAAGATCATTTACCTTTCTTTCCATCATATCTGAGCAGACCTAATTTTCACACCTGATCCTCTGTGTCTAGCTGTGTTGGAGCAAAGAGTGGCTTGGGTCAGCTTTTTGACTGAGGCACTGTGTGCTGCACAAACAGCCATTCCCACCACAATGCTGTGTATCAGTCCTGATACCATTTGAAAATGTGGCAGACGCACACCAGGCCTTCAGGATTACATTGGCAAAATGAATTTACGCTGACATAAAGATAAACTCTCCCAAGTTATTTACATTCCCCTGCCTATTTTCTGTTTTGCACATTTTTGGCAGGCCTGCCAGAGCCATAAAGTTGAATGCAGCACACAAATTATGTATTTGGAGGTGCTTTATGACACCTTTGCATTTGCAAGCCCAGCTAGGTTATTGAGTCCCTAGTAGGCCACCATTCCTGGCTAGTGTTCTGCATCCATCTTGTTGGATCACAAGCTAGCAGTCAATGCAATTAGGTTTCCTAACTCCAGGCCGGGGGAAAACAGTACCTGTAACTTTAAGACCTTTGATGCACAATGTAACAGCAGTGGCTTGTATTCTATGGCACATTTGCCTATTCTTTCTCTATGTTATGGCAAAGAAGAATAAGCCCTTAGGAGTTCTTTTTTAATTATTTGCAAATTTATAAACCGCTTCACAACTAAAAGGTACCAAAGTGGTGTACAGAAAGATGAAATACAAGAGATTATTGACTCAGTAAACAATTAGCAACACAACCATTTCTACAATTGTGCAATAATTATTCCCTTAAAATTATTAAAAACCTTCTTTAAAAGGTCTTCCATAACTACCTAAATACCAAGGTGCTGAGGCATGCCTAATTGCAGTTGGGCTGGAGTAGCAACACTAAAAGCCCAGTTTCTATAACAAAATAAGCACACCCCTGAGGTATCGGCTCCTTTCAGTTTGCCCAGTGCAGTTGCTAGGCAGGAATATATGGAGTGAAGGAGTATCTTAAGTAAGCTGGTCCCAAGTTGTTTACAGCAGCAAGACCATATCTACTTCCCTATCGCCTGATATCTTATAAAATCAGATGCAGGAAACCTAAAGCTGCAAAGGAAGAATCAGGAGTGCAATGGAGTTTGAATTAGGAACTGGTTTTAGCTGTATTGTTAGCATCCACCAGTCTCACAAGACAATGGAATGTGCCTCCATGGGTGAAGTGACCTTTCCAGGGTACAAGCCTGGGTAGTGTGTATGGAGATCCTGGGCTGCCCAGACAATAGGATCCCTCTTTCGGCCTTGCTGATGTGGTTCAAAGGAAAGCAGAGCAATACATTTGGCTCCAGCTTGGCAGCAGGAGTTGCTGGAAGGAGGTGTACAAGGTGCTATCAAACCGCCTTACAGACTCTACTCTGGATTTGTGTAGGGTTTGCGCCTTAGCCTTTTCGCTTAAAGATGTTATGCAAGGCAGCAGAGGTTTAGGATGAGAGCTTTCCTTCTCCTAGGTAGGCTACCTTCCCAGGCTGACAAGCCCCATATTTCCCTCACTTCCCTCTACAGCACATGCAGAATCCACCTTCTTGACTGCTGAAACCACTATTGGTGTTATCCGCTCAGTCCACCAGAGCCTGTCTTCGCATGCAGGGAAAGTCCCTAACTCACTGACGGTTTGAGATCCATCAGCTATGCTCACTGGGATGTAGCTGGCCAGTTGAAGTGTGGAGTGTGGCTGCTGTCACATGCCGACAGCTTCTTGGACCCACAGGTGAGAGCTGTGTATAGGGTGGGATCAAAGATGGACAAACTACCCCAGAAGAAGCACAACGTGTCCCCCCTCACAGGTACTACTCTTCCCCTAAAACCCCATACACCCCAGGTGTGTGTGTGTGTGTGTGTGTGAACACACATGAGAATAGAAATGATCTCAAATAAATAAATGTTTTGCTACAAAGGTAAGTAGATCCAATTTCTGCTATATTTTGTACTTAAGTACAGGTTTTGATTTTTATTTTAATGTACATGTACCATGAAAATTGTGAACTGCAACCTACCATTTTCTCTTTTAAAAATACATGGAGGTGTAGTTTTTCCCCAAGTGGCTGCTTCATGGATTTTGAAGGAAAGTGTCAATTTACACAAAACATGTACCCTTCACAAATAACACTATGTGCTTGTATTTTTGTACTCTGATTATATCTGTTCCCAAGTACAAAAGATCATGTGAGAAGTTCCCCTGAGGCACTACTTTGCAAAGTACTTGGGATATCGGAAACCCGTCCTTGATTTATTTCGACAATCTTCTTCTGACACAAACAGGGTAAGCGGAGGGGTGTTATGAGAAGGTATTTTAATTTGTGTGATAAATTGTTAGACTCCATTAGGTTTAATGAGTATCATCAGTGTATTCTTAGAATAGTTTTTAAAATCCTATCAAAGACTGATATAATCAAATTAAGCAAATTAATAGCAAGAATCCTGTGTATCTGCAGGATATAAGGGACTTAATAAAAGCCCACTGTAAAAGTTATATTTTTTTGTTTCTTGTTGCTTTAATTATGTAGTCTAAACTGCTACTTCCCCCCAGTTTCCACTATTTGAACAGACTGGAAAGGCCTAGTTTTGGCCTAGAATCAGCCTTGACTGATGAGTTTATCTAGCGTACAGATGGGGGAGTACAACCCTCCCATCAGGAACCCTTAGTAACTTTTGATGCCATTGACCATGGTCTTTTCCCGGATCATCTATATGAGTTGGGGTTTGAAGCCATTGCTCTACAGTGGTTTGGCTCTTGTTTGTATGTCAGGTCTCAGAGGATAGCTCTGAGAGACTATGTGTCTACATCCTGGCAACTTACCTGTGGGGAACTGCAAGGCTTTTTATCTCCAGTGCTTTTTAACATCTATATGAAGCCTTTGGGGCAGTTATCAGGAGGTTTGAGATCCTATTTCTCCATTGTCAGGGGACTGCCATCAGAACAGGGAAGGGAAGCAGAGGGGCAGTTGGGTTACAGGGAACCTCTGAAAATCTTGCGAAGCAGTTCCTCTTCCTGCGGTGGGGAAAGCCACACCTCCAGTGGGGAAGAGGGGGAGGGCCAGAGGATGCTGCTGGGAGCCTCAGCACCACTCCTGGCCAAGCCGGCCAGGAGGGAAGCACGCCTCTTCCATTGCCCACGCTGCGCAGGTGTAAAATGCAAAAAAGGAAGGAAAAGGCTGGGGGTGACTAAGCTATTATGTTGGGGGAGGACCCAGAAATGACCACTCCTGGATTCTGTTAGCGACTGAGGCAGACATGAACTTGTGGTTCTGCACTGTAAATAGTTTTGCACCAAAATAAAACCTGTAAAAGACAGGGCGGAGTCCTGACTGGTTATTCACGAGCAACCACCACTGCAATCTGACATCCATTTAAGATGAGCCAGGAGAGTTTGTGCCAATTCTGAACCAGTGTTTGGATGCAGTAGTGGTCATAAGATTAAAGCTGCTAAAACAGTGACACTGCTAAAACAGAGACACTGTGGGTGAATGGTTCCCAGATCCAAGATTCGGGGACTTCACCTGTTTAGATGAGGCTGCACTCCCTCTGAAGGAACAGGTAAATGGATAATGAGGAACCATCTTTGGAACCATCTTTGTCTATGGAAACCCAGGTGGCCTTAAAGGCAAGAAGTACCTATCACCAGCAACAACAACACACTTTTGTGAAACTCTAGGAA